AAAAAAAAAAAATCAAGATCCAAGAATTAGTCCCTGGAGGTCAGTGAAAATGTAAAAAAGGCCTTTATTGGATTAAAAAGAGGTTCTGGAGCAACAGCTTTATCCAGATCTGTGCCAACAATGTAATGGGTAGTTTCATGACCAACGTCCCAACATTCCTCCAAGTTTTGTGGAAATCTGTTTTGTAGTTTTTGTGTAATCCTACAAAAAAAAAAACAACCAACAAAAATACAGACAGAGGTAGAAACATCCTGAGCAAAGATTTAAAGTAAGACTACTGTAGGTGCACTCTAATATGAACAGGGAGATGTGCTGTAGCTGATCATCAGATCTGACCTGGTTAAGTATTGTCAATAGTCCTTTAGTGTCAGTTTGACCATGCCTGAATGTTTGCAGGAGGGACCATAGAGAGAACGACTGACAGTGACCTAGAAACCAGTTGAGCTGGTAAAGACAAATGGCCGTTGAATGAGCTGTTGGATTCCTGTCAGACAGTCAGACAATGAAACCAACATTTTCAGGGAACACGGTTCCTCCTCCATCATCCCCTCACTATGCCTTTATTTATGTTCTTCTCTTTTTCACCGATCACTCAGATAGAGTAGCATGTGGTGCAGATATTGCAGAGGCTAACGTGTCATCGGAGCTGCTATACTTTCCTTTAGCAGAAAATTGCTTCAATCAATCTCAAGCTGCTCGCCCTGTTTGAAATGGATTTCTGGGGAAAGCCAGAAACACAGAGCCAGTGAGTCAACGAGCAGGTGGCTGTGAGTCCCACATTAAATCCCATTAATGTGCTGAGAATTCAGATAAAACTGCTGATGGATTACCCCACTGGTTAATGTTTATGCCTGTTTTTTTAAGGTTTGTCTCTCTTTTGTAATTCATTAAAAGAAAAAACCATAAAACCATGAAAAAGACGACTGAATACTGAGGCCATATTGAAGTATTCCCAAGAGATTTTGAAAATGTTCTAATATTGTGAGAGAAAAATAATATTACATAACAAGAAATAAGCTGCAATTTAATTACAATGTATCAAATTATGAGACTTAAGTCATAATTTAATGAGAAGAAAAGAAAAAATGTTAAGGAAATAAGCAGCAAGGAGAACACATACCACTCCCTCTGGATCCAAAATGTTGAATCAATCTCATTGTTACTTGAGAAACTATGAAACTCTTTTGAATAACAAGCAGATGTGACCAATCATAACTATGAAGTCGACCGATGCCAAATATTTCCTCCAAAACAAAAGAGGTCATTTACCCTGAGTCTGTTTCGTACTTTCTTGGGATTAGACACAGCTTCTTGCACAATATTGTCATAATCCTGATGCTTACTATAATGTGGTGCTGATGAATGAAAAGATTGAGTACTGTGATAAACAACTTAATAAGATCCACATTTTAACTGAGATGATCTATCGATATTCCACCTCTAAAATGATACA